AAATTTCAGTGTCCATCATAACCTTAAAATTATAGTGTTTCTGTTGTTAGATACCATCAAGTCAGTACCAACTTATAGCGACTCTATGCACAGCAGAAGGAAACACTGCCTGATCCTGGGCCAACCTCACTATCATCGCCATGCTTGAGCCCATTGATGCTGCCACTTTGCCAATCCATCTCGTTGGGGGTCTTCCTCTTTTTCTCTGACCCTACACCCTACCAAACATGATATCCTTCTCCAGTGACTGATATTCATATATATCTATTCCAGTTGTCCAAAGGGTCAACCTTGCCAAATAGACTTACTCTATAGTCCTGGTGTGACACTACGAGATAAATCACTGGACTGCAAGGTCAGTTTGAACCACAAAGTCAGTGGTTCAAACTCACCAGCCACTCCTTAGGACCCCTAGGCAGGGTTACTATGAGCTGAAACCAACTCTATGGCACTTAACATAAAAAACAATTGTTTTAAAGGCTTCCTAGTATGGTGCTATAGGATAAGCACTCTACCAAAAGGTCAGTTTGAACCACAAAGTGGGTGGTCCAAACCTACCAGCAGCTCCTGGAAAACCTTATACACTGTCGAGATAACTTGGAACCAATTCAACAGCACTTAACTACAACAACAACAACAATGTAAATAACAGAGCATTTTGTTGCATATAATTAAATTTATGTAGGACTCAATCTGTAGTAAATTAAAATTTAAGAAAAATTTATTTAAAACTATCATTGTTGTTAAGTGCTGTTGAATTCTTTCCAACCCATAGCAACCCAGTATAGGGTTTCCAAGGAGCAGTTGGTGAGCTTGAGCCACTGTCCTTGCAGTTCAAAGGACTTTGCTATCTGATGCATTAGCCCACAGTGCCACACCAGGACTCCATTATTATACTGGCTTAACTCAATGGTCCTGTACTTGAGGTGTAGATTGTTACTGAATAGAGATTCAGAAAGCTTAATTCCATCCAATTCAGATATATGAACAAAATCTTAGCTAAACATATTTAAAAGATGTCTTGGAAGTGCTTGATTTGAAACTTGGAACATATGTTATCATGTTAGTATATTTTATCAATACGACTTTTAAAATTTGAACTGCAATTTGGGATTTTTCTGAAGGTGTGACAATAGCTTGCAAAGGAAATACTGAATTCCAGAGGGAAAAATCAAATTATAGTTTTAAAAACTCATTACCAATAATTAATGATGAACTCTAGCTAAACAATAACAGGTGTTCCACTCATCCCACATTAAAGCAGATGGCAGCACAAATGTCTTATAACTAGTGGATACATGCAGAGAAATAAACTTTGCAGAAATTATTTTATTCTCCAACTGTCAGTCAGAGTCACAGTCTTATCACTTGAATTTTCTCTGAATTAATATGCCCAGCTTTAGTCTGTTTTAGGACTCCTGGTGTGGCACAGAAGAATAAGCACTGGACTGCTAACCACAAAATTAGTGATTCAAAACCACTAGCTACTCCTCAGAAACCCTATACAGACTCACTATGAGTTGGAACCAACTCAACGACACTGAACAACAACCACAACTGGTTTCTCACTCTTTTTAAAATACAAGCCATGTTTAGTGCTTGCTCATTTCATGTTGTATTGCCTTACCAACAACCTTTATTGACCTTTCTGTATGTGCATCTGTGAAACTTCAGTTATAAGAAACAACAGTTATACTATAAAACTCCCTTCTTCCCTCTTTATTTCATATCGGGCTGTGAACCATAAGGTCAGCGGTTCGAAACTACCAGCCGCTCCGCGGGAGAAAGATAAGGCTTTCTACTCCCGTAAAGATTTACACCCTTGGAAACCCTGTTACAGGGTCGCTATGGGTCGGAACCGACTTGGTGGCACTTAACAACAACAACAAACCTAAAAAAAAATAAATAAAACAAAACTGACTTATATTTTAAACATTATATTTTTAAACATTTCCTGGTGTGGTGCAGTGGTATATAATGTACTTGACCTCAAGGCCGGTTTGAACTTCAAGGCTGATGGTTCAAACTCAGCAGCTGCTCCTTGGAAATCCTTGGAAACAGGGTGTCTATGAGTTAAAACGGAATCAATGGCATTTAACAACAGCATAGCAATAGCTCTTCTAAAAGTTTGTTGTTATGTGCCACGGAGTCGGTTCCAACTCATAGCAACCCTGTACAGTGTTTCCGAGGCTGTAAATCTTTATGGGAGCAGAAAACCTCCTCTTTCTCCCACAGAATAGCTAGTAGTTTCGAAATGCTGACCATGAGATTAGCAGCCTGATTCGTCACCACTATGCTTCTTGTTGTTGTTGTTATGTGCCATCGAGTCGGTTCCGACCCATAGCGACCCTGTATAAGGTTTCCGAGGGTGTAAATCTTTACGGGAGTAGAAAGCCTCATCTTTCTCCCGCGGAGCAGCTGATAGTTTTGAACCACTGACCTTAAGGTTCGCAGCCCAATTCGTAACCACTACGCTACCAGTGCTGCCTGCTACCAGAGATGAAATATATTAAGAAGACAGTTACAATGTCAATAAATAGTGTTAGTAAATCAATCCTATAGATTTTAGAAAATATTTTCAGAAGCTAGATTATGCATCTGTATCAGTTTAAAATAAATAGGTTCACATATGCTTTTAGATGACTAATTCCTGCATGGCCGTTAGCAGAATCTTCCTTCTATTATGCAGGAATACTTTTTTGTTGTTGTTTCTTCGGACCTTAATCGGTGATCAAATTATCAAAAATAAATGGGAAGCTTTGTCACTGTTAGCCACTTACTTGGACAATAAATGGCTCTCTTTGTACTCTAATTTTCTTAGAAATCATATTTTACAGTCAATTCACAGCTACTATGAATAACTTCAGTTGTATACAAAACCTAATACTTTCTTCAGATAATGAAATTTAAAACCAAGTTGGATATAAAGAAAGTACAGGCAGTCCCTGGGTTTACCACCATGATCTGTTCCTAAGTGTGTCTTTAAGCTGAATTTGTAAGCCACAAGGGGTGACAGGGTTCTTCTGTGGCCTTTTTTTTAGAGCAAGAAAAGGTTTGAAGTCTTTTCAGTAATTTAAAAGCTACACTTGCAGCAAGTGAAGATGATCGTGATTAATTTGTTGCAATTAGAAGTTGGTTCAATTTTTTCAAAGTGAGTAAGGTAACATTTAAAGGAAAAGACAAGCTGTCCTTAAGTTAGATATTCATACCTCTAGGACTTACTGTAATGCTTATTAGTCATTTATTAATCCATGGTTGTCAACCAGAGCTATTCTTCACATATTAAAGTGCACCATTACTTGATCCTATAAATGTCAGCATATGTATAGGCTCTGGTAAACCACCATGCCTGGATAAACTCCCAGAAAACTCTGTGTACAGACTAGGACTTGGCCAGAGATGAGCAAGCAGTTCCTTTCATATGGAATACTCACCCAGATAGGTAGTGATGAAGTAAATGAATTGCTAACCTCTCGAACTGCTAACCTCAAGGTCAGCAGTTCAAAACTACCAGCATTTCCAAGGTAGAAAGATGAGGCTTTCTGCTCCCATAAAGATTTATACCCATGGAAAGAAACCCTTTTGAGGGTTGCCATGAGTCAGAATTGACTCCACGGCACATAACCAACCACCACCTTCCTGAATATTTCCATTCAATTTTGCTATGTCAACATACACTTGAGCCCTATTGTGGCACTGTAGGTTAATGCGCTGGACTTCAAAGTCAGTTTGAACCATAAGGTCAGAGGTTCAAGCTCACCAGATGCTCTTTGGAAACCTTATACAGGGTTGGTATGTGTTGGAAAGGACTCCACTTGACGGCACTCAGCAGGAGCAACAATACAACATACACTTGCTAATGTTAATCATTCTTCTCTAGTAAATCATTGAATTTTTCAAAGTTTTGTTTTTTCAGGAATGATCTATTGCCATTAACTTTTCCTGAGACCAAGGTTTTCAGGATTTTCTTAATATCTAAGGTCACTTGTTAAGCGCAATCGAATGTATTACAATTCATACTTTTTATAGGGTTGCTGAGGAGCAGCTGATGGGTCTAAACTGTGAACAGCACCATACTAGGAGTTCTTAAAGTATTCAAATCCACCAGCCATTCCTTGGAACCCTGACTAGACAACAGTTAACAATAATAAAGAAGTATTATATATTTGTCTTCGATATGAAATGCTTGCTCTGTGACATATGCATGAATTATAATTATACATTTTAAAACGATTTACATAAAAATAGTTAAGCAAATATCTGTTTTAAACATTCAGCTTCAATTATTCTAATGTAGACTGACTCTTTTCCTAACAATATGCTTTTAGAAATGCTTCCTCCAACATGAATATGTGCTAAGTGTTTCTAAATGTATGAAAGACATAGTCCAGGCATTCAAGTTTTCACTCCTAATTAAGATATTAGTAAAGAATCCCTTGTTACACTGCAGGCAACAATTCAAGACATGAGAGATGATAGATACATTGCTCTCCATTGTGTTAACTGTTAACACCAAGGCTGACTATCTCCATCAGTAGTGGCAGGGCTAAACCAAGCACATGCATAACTGAGAAAACCAAAAAGATTTTATGAAAAAAGAGATTAAGGATTTGAAATGAGATAGATTCCAATAGGAATGTTAATTCTTATTTTTTGAAAAATTAAGATACTTTTACTGTTATAGATCTTTTCTTCTAGTTTACCAATTTGCTGTTTCATTCCAAGAGGTTATCAAAGATATTAGTAGTTTTTATATAGAAAGATATTAGCACTTTTGTAGCTTCTGCTGACCTCATTTGCAATAGGCCATGCAGAAATGGAAGGTAAAATGTAAAACCTTAATTCCATGATTAGTTTTGCTTTTTACCGATTTACCCTAAATCTTCACATGCATTATGCTATATTTTTTAAATGAAAATATAGTTTGGAACATAAAAAGCCAGCAATCTTAGAGACAAAAACTATTAAAATAAACAAGCACGCAAATTGTTTTGGAATACCTGGTTTCAAATCCCCTTGGACAAACATGTCAATCATATATCGACAGAATGCATACTGATCTGATAGAGTAGAGAGAAAAAGAGCAATGAGAAAATGCCATCAACACCTTTCTCTTATCTAGGGAAAAATGGTTTAACAAAACAAATAAGCAAATAGCACAGTTCTATTTTGGTTTTTACAATGTTTTCTGTGAAGGCATAATTTGCACTTATGTGAACATACAGGGGAAAATTACATAAATATAAAACCACATTAAGAATTCCATAAAAGAATATTGAAAATTGAAGCAACTAGTTCAGAGTAATATTATATAGCTGATTTTTTAAAGAATCAAAACTTTCTCAAGTTTCTTGTAAAAGTTATTATATTAAAATGATTCTTGTCCTTTCTGATACTGCCAGTCGTGAAAGAAAAATTCTATAAAAGGAAAGTATTTACATATTGGAATACATTTTGTTGTTGTAAGTGCCATTGAGTTGGTTTAGACTCATAGTGAGCCTGTATCGGGTTTCTGAGGAACAGCTGTTGAGCTTGAACCAGGAGGTCGGTTTGAATCACATTAACCCACAGCACCACACCAGGATTCCATTTGTGGGGAACACAGTGGCTCCTAGGATAAGCACTGGACTGCAACACCACAAGGTCCATGTTTTGATTCCATCAGTCTCTCTGTGGGAGAAAGATGAGGAGGCTTTCTGCCCCTACAAAGATTTAAAGCCTTGGCAACTTTGGAAACAGACTCAATGACACTTAACAACATCCACAACAATAT